GTCGACGATTCGGCCCGCGTTGACGATACTCACAATGTTAACGATCTTCACGAAGAAAAGATACGCAGTATGGGTCGAAAGTAGGGCACTAGGAGAGCCGGATTGTGGCAACTATATATATCTTCCGAGTACTACAAGAACGACCGAACCCACCAGCTGCTGCACGATTTTTATGCCTGGCGAATTACTACGAACAACGTGCCCACTTTTGGACTGCAATATACAAAGGAAAATGATACATGGGACGCGAAAAGTTGACACAATTTGTTGGGAGTCTTTCAAGTTGCCATCCAAGAAACGATTCCCAAACAAAAGCATTTCCAACGAAGCTGTTACAATAGTGGAATAACGCAACTACGTTTCTGAGAGAAAGCGAAATTCCCTCTACCTCCACCCATCGCAATCTGGCACACAATATTCGAATATTGTGGTGCATAAGTCTTTAAACGGCCACGCTCGGGTTCGAACATCTCGCAACTCGCACTATTCTTTTACGTTACAATGTAACTTCGGTCTCCGGATTGAGGGACTGAGGGCGTTGGTCCCGTTTAGCGATTTTGCTGAAAGCCTGAGTAGCGTGTTTGACTTGGAAAGGGTTCATTATTGCCCCTGCTGGATGTTGGTAAGTTCTGAACTTTTCTGTGGTTCGATAGAACCATTGAATGAGGTTCAGTCTCTATCACTTCGTTTGTATTCAAAGCATCGCATGTGTCTGAGTCATTAGCGGCAACATATCGTTGTTCTGGTAGACTTGAAGTTGGAAATTACACTAACATTTTACACAATGACTTCTGCGCTACTTCTCTCGGGGAACCGCAACAGCTATATTTCAGATCAGAGCAGAGCTCACCAGAAATTTCAACATATGCTGTGTTTCTCGAAATGCATTTGCCGGAATGCCGCTACTTCGCAACGTGAGAATATCTCCGGTGGGGGCTGGTGCGGTTGTACAAGTTTGTTGAGCTCTGGCGCAAGAAAAGGATGAATGATAGTGTCAACGTGGGCTCATAAATTCAAGTTTTTAGACCACGGAACAGGCGAGATACATTTGAGATGGGACCTCGAAAAGGACGAAAATACCCATTTTCCCAGAATGATGCGGGGATGGGGCGAGAGCCAATTCACGAGGTCAGCGGCATTTTCCAGATTCGTTGCATCCATATTATTATTGGTTCGCCGAACCAGTGTTGAGAATTTTCAACGAGAAGACTACCATCCTCTTTCGGGTTGAAATTTGCATAAATCATTGTTGGTTGGCCAATAACAAATGACATCCACCTCAGATGAGCGCTTCTGCTTTGCAGAATATCAGCACACCAACACGCAAACGATTGTATCGGAAACGTCTCCGAAAAGGTTGCATATGCTTTGTAGCATCGCATTTAAGTACAGTTCCTACCCCTCAAGAATCAACTAGACCAAGAAATTCTAGCAAGCAACAAGGTCGGAGAGGTATTTACTCTTCCAGGTATGTTGGAACGAACTTCCAGTTTCATGAACCCAAGCTCACCAATATCAGTATACCATCCAGAGGAATTGAGAAGTCCTGTTTCCTTTCGGAGACCCAAAATCGAATCACCTGAAAATAAGGTCTTCACCGGACTGAGTGGTCAGACCAGTCCATACCTTACTGGTATATCAGTCACATGAGGAAACCTTTCACTTTCTTGAGTTTTCTTGGATTCCATTTGGTGCGCTTGAGATGCACTGACCCATTTTACCCTGAATTGCATCAGGGGAGAATGGGCCAATAGCAGCAACTCTAGACATGCAAGCACCCTATCATTGGACCAAACATTTCAGATGCGCAATCTACCTCCATGTGACTTGAAGTCACAGAAATAAGAGTGTACTGGCTATCTTTCCTCACAAGAATTTACCTGTTTAGGATTATTTATTTCTCAAAACAATCGAAATTCCAAGAAGTTCCGATAGTTGTTTGTCGTCTAAGAAGGGGTAGCAAATACAAAGAAAATACGAATCAAGAACAGTGCCCAACCAGGGGTAAACGCAAATGGATGGCTACCAGTGCAGCCTAGAGGGTACTGCGGTTGCACAAATTGCATGGCTGTGAGAACAACTATGAAATCTTTGCAATGAAAGATTGGTAGCATAAGCTCTTGCAGGCGTTATTATGCTGTCTTTTTGTGCGTGTGTGTTGAAGTAAGGGAGAAGTTTCACGCAAATTACCAATAGATAAGGGCAAATCTTCAACCTTGCCCTCTGATTTTGCTTGTGGCACGCTATTGAGGTGGCTGGGTTGAGTTGAGAGCCTTTATACTTCAACAGAAGAGGCTGGCGATGCAGATATTCCCTCTCCCTGATGGTTCACTAGGCATACCACAGATTGGATGCTGCCTGTCCAGATTTCTACTCTTCACTGTCCTGCATAGACAGTGTAACACAAGTTTTCTATAGACCTGACAGATTAGCAGGTTTGAGCACCAATTTCTACAGTCGACGAGTTTACCCCCTATTGCGAATACTTATATTTGAAATACGCGTAAGGCTAACTTTCTGGCAGAATTTTTCTCAGTATCTATATGATACACGCAGCTTGGCGGGGTGGTAGGAAGTTCAGAGTTCCTGACGGATCACATTCAATGTTTGCCTGTAGGGGCAATGGCCCCCTGAGCATGCAGAAGGAGAGAGAAACCACTCGAAGCAACAGGCCAATAACGAGGTTAGCAACATCAAGTCAATATGCACGCAAGTCCTACTCGGAGAAAACGTTCACGAAGACACACAGCATGGAAGAGAGGAAGAAAGGACGACACCAAGAAAGGGATAACACTGCGAGTATTCCCGCAATCCTAAGGAGTTTTGGCGGTTCAAGAAAAGAAGTGGCTAAAGGAGAGTGGATTGGGTAGCGAAAGAACCCAACTGTGGTTCGCAACATGCCCCTTTCCGATAAGGCAGAGGAGACGCCTGTCGGCAAATTATATTGAACACGGGTTCCCGGTCTCGAGGAAATTGAGAATTAGTGGTTCGGTACCCCCTCAGCAACTATTGGAACCGTGCATATAAATTACTATGAAGAAGGCTCAGATACATAATTCTTTTCAGCGCCACATGAAGCTGCATCACAATTTCCGACACTCCAAAGAACGTGGCACCTCTTGATAGGGATTATCTAGTTATAATTATCTCGATCAGGAGATAACTCTCGGTTCTTCATGCCTGTGTCCTTCTGGCGATGGATTGGAGTTTCTGGAAAGGCTACCGTGCAGACTGCATATGTTTAATCGTCGAAACCCAGGAAAACGGGTTTTCACAGTGCTATAAGCTGGACAACCCCATTTAAAAGCATACATAGCGGCTCACAATCGTGACGCTTTTCACTTCAAATTGCAAGAAGCATAGCCATATAATTCCCCTGGCTTTCGTCACTCAAACATTCAAAGTGTAACCTTTGTTAATCGAAAACCAGTATCAAGGTGATTAGGCGCCCCTTCAAAGCTACAGAATAGCGCTCTAACTTCTATCAGACTCCGTACACTTCCACCGCTACCACCCACGGCTGCCATCACACGCGGATCAGGATGCCAGGCAAGACCGAGGAAGGAGTTGTCGGGGCAGATATCCCAAAGCCAGTGAGTATAATACACTCATGGTCAATGTCTACTAGTTGGTCATGTTGATTTATAAGCAGGTTCCTCCCTCTCCTTGCCTCTGAAAAAAAGGGATAAATGCAGTTGCACCTTCAATTTTGAATCGTTGGGCGAGGACGTTGAAGGAATATGTTCGTCAATTGAATCGAGGGGTTAGATACCACGGAGGAGATTTTATAGTCAATATGGAAAACTTGTCCTCTGCTCAACTCTACAATATGATCACTGACCATCCAAATCGCTAGAATTGGTGGTTGACAAATTTGTGAGATGGTAGTAACTAATTTCATCTGTAGAGTACGAACTTTTATCATAGGAAAGCGTAGAGAATTGCGACCGTGAAGAGTTTACGATTTGGAAGAAGAGCGAACTACACCACTTAGGCTCTTACTTGGTACATGGGTACAAATTGACCCCTCCGACTCTCCGGGCATAAATAGCTAGGCTTCCCCCCGTGGTTGCGTTCCTCGTTACTTTCCTCATACGCTTGCGCATTGCACATAATAATTCCTCCAATGCTCCCCCATCCTCTCCACCGCCCAAAGAAACTCGGAGCAAAACAGGCATAAGAGTTTCCGTGAAAGAAGGTATCTGATATAGCCTTGTATCAGAGGTGCGGTCATAAGAAGGTGTAGGTAATCAAGCTCATTCTGATTCGCCTGCGTTGTCCAGTAGCATTCCACCCCACACCCCCCTTCTTTTACCCTCTCGCAAGCGAGTCATTGGTGCTGAGGTAGAGAGTAGGATACCCAAGAAACCAGGTACGGTTTTCTGGGTAAGGCTGGCCCTCCGGACCGTGGTCTGATTGAGAGGATGTTCGTCAGAATGTTGGTTCCAGACATCGATCGCTCTTTGCTATCAAATATGGCGGCACCGCAAGATGAACCCAGTATTGCGCGAGGCTCGTTAGAGCTGGATCTTTTAAACTCAGGTCCTTCATGTGTCCCTATAGCTAACAATGGTGTCAACAGGCTGGATTTGGAACAAGGCTCTATAGAGATGACTACCATAAGGCAGAGAAATCAAGCGATCAACCCATCGCTACCAGCGACTGGTCCTCGAGAAACAGCCTCTATACCTTCGCAGAGCCGCAAGTTAGCAAAGTTTGACTAGATTTTGTTGGCTAACTCAACTAGAAAATCGTGCGCCAACATTTAGCGAACGTGCTAGGGGCTGCTTCTTCAGCTATTCTCTCTTCGGCGGCTCAAGTCCAGAAGAAATCAGCGCAGCAACCAAATTGGCACAGGAACGCACAAAAGCCGACCTGGAGTACGAGGGCCTTGAATATAAAAAGAGTCAGTCCATAAGGGCGCACGCCAACCAGAGATTTCTGACCAGATTCAAATAGTCGACTCGTTCCCAGCGGGGTACCCGAGTTTGGCAGCCTTCATGAATAGTGACGAGAGTTTCATAATATTTCGAAGATTCGGTCGCCTTTCAACTCGACTTTTGCTTCATCTACAAATTGAGCTGGTGTTGCTCCAGAAGAAACTGGATGCATTGGACAATAGGGACAACGCCGATCCAATAATGCACTGGAGACTGAGAGGCGGTACCAACTTTAAAGGGTATGATGAAGAGCATTTGGAATTACTCGAAGAGATACGGAAGGCATACCTCAATTATGGTAATCATAGTCATCTCGTGTGGAGGAAGAGCAAGAAATACTAATTCTGCCAACAGCTGAGGTCCTTGAAAAAGATGTAGCGCTTCGTCGCCTCGACAAGTCAACCACACGCGATCATCGTTCCCTCTTCAACTGGGTCCGAACCATGAATCCATTGTGTGGAGATCTCGACAAAGCGGGATTCATCACTCGTTTTGATGATTTTGTGTCTTTATCACAGCAAAGTCAAAGCACTCGCCGTTTTGAAGATTTTATCCAGCGACTCTTAGGTGATGGGCCCCCCTCACGGCTTAAAGTAAGTTTTCTTCTCAGATACACATAGTATCTCCAAAAACAGATAGATCGGGCTTGGGACGTCATGCCATTACACTCGTCCACTGGGTGGTGTATGGAAGGAAAAGATGACAAGCAAGTTAGGTATAGATTAGAAACCTTCCCCATTTCCCCTGAATAACTCTCAAATCGGTTAATCGACAACCCTCACTCAATCCACATTCAATCCTCACAATCCTAACAACCCAAGGAGACAAGGGGTAAACCAGAGATCTTCAATTCTCCATATATATAAATACATCTAAAAGCATAAATACGGGTATCTCAACTCCAAAAAGTAAATATTTAAAAAAGAGCGATCTAGAGAAAAACCATCCAGGATAACTCACTCCTGACATGTTCATATCCCACCCAATCAGCATCCACCATCAAACCCTTAAAACGACCCTCCACCCAAGCGCCCCCGCCTCCCTCACAGCACAAGAAACACACCCCTTCCCCCTCCTACTAACCAGCGCATTCCAGCCCCTCTCCGCACACAACGCTCTCCCCAGCATCTCCAAATCACTACCAAGATCACGCTGAGCGGTATCTCGAGGCGAAACCGTCGGACGCGATTGGGAATTGACAGATGTGGATTCTGTACAGTCGATAATGAGGACTTTCGGGATGGAAGTAGATGTTTGACGGGGACTGGATTGGATTGCATCTGAGGAGGATGGCGGCGAGAGGAGGGTTGCGAAATCGGTTGCGGAGGAGGTGAAGACTAAGTCAAGGACGGGTGTGCGGGTGAATGTGAATTCTTTGTGGAGGGGGTGTCCGGCTATGTTGGTTATTAGCTGCTATAGTCGTGATCGTACAAGATTGAAGTTCTGGACTTACCTGGAATAGAGGATGGTTGCATAGCGCTTTGCTCAGATTTCTGGAAAGATGGGCTTGTTGAACTGCGAATGATATTCGTGAATTGTGATAGGATACACGGATGTGCGGTGACGAAATTCACATCATGGGAAACCGCAAGATTCGCTTCTTTTTTCCCCTTTCCTTCGATATCCAAGGAAAACCTCATCATGGCAGAATAAGTCTTGATTCTAGGAGCGACAAACTCGGTAGTCTCAGTCCCTGGCGTCTCGTAAACGGAGTTTGCTGCTGAATCGAGGGAAGCGAATAAGTCAAGCGACTCGAAAATAACAGAAAGTGGTTTCTGTGTCGATTCATCTGAAGGAATGATAAAATCCCCAGGCAACACCAAAGAGGGGTCAGCTTCGCCTAGAACGCTACCCCTAGTTTCAATGAGTGAAGTATTCCAGATTCTGGGCTTTTCAGTCTTTGGCAATCCTGCGCACCAGTTAGTATTCAATCCGAAAAAGATAGTTAAGAACGGTGTAATCCTCGAGGTATCAAGCCTACCATTCTGGAGAGACGATTCGACATCGATATCAATCCACGCCTCGCCGGTCCCTACAGGAATCATGTCAGATGATATCCAACCCATGCACTCTCTCGCTCCCTTTCTAGATGCTAAAACTCTCCCTACCACACATCCAGTACTCCAAAAGCTTCGACCCGAATATACAAATCCGCCAAACAAATTCGCTTCATCGCCCAGCTTAGCAATAGCGGTTTCATCGTTCTCTAGTAATGTAGCTATTAAGAAATGGCTTAACCCTTCACCTGGCAATACCAAGCCATTCATATAAGAGCTTGAAAGCCACCCGGAAGACCGAAGTATTGCTGACATGTTCTTTTGTACAGTGGTCATGTTTCGAGTCTGCCGTCGACTGGAGAAATAACCGGCAGAATTTTGAGTTGATGTTGAAAGAGGAGTTGCCGTAAAAGGTGTACTCAAAGTATTGGTCGACAGTTTAAGTCCAGACTTTGCAATTTTAGCTGTCAGACTATCCAAGTTAGGCCAAGAGATGTTTTGAGCAAAATGAAGAAGACCAGCTACTTGTTGCGGTTTGTTTCTGCCTTCAAAGCTCAAATGCTCCACAGTTTCCCTTATTATGGGGGCTTCAGGTTCATCCGCCGTCCCAGTCAGGCTGGCCAGCCATCCTTGTGTTGCTTTTTTGTCGGTCGTACTTTCAACTTTCTTCTTCTCGACTCGAATGTTTTCAAGCCAACGTCTTGCTAAAATCAACCCCCATTTCACGCTCGTCGTGGCGCCCTTGTCGAATGAAGAAAGCTCTAGAGAGTTCGACTCTTCGGTCCCGTGTTCAACATTCATTGATACTGCATCCAAACGTAGTAAGAGCTCGCAAGACAATAGAATTTGGAGCAATAGCCAGTACTTTTCGGTTCCAGACATAGGTGAAACCTCACCGTTGATTTCCATCTCATCGCTGAGTTCGCTATCTAAAGACGAGCTCCGTAGAATCTCGCCTAGACACATCCTCCATTCTACGAGACTGAAATCAAACCAGACTAAAGGTGCCGCCAAAACATCAATGAGAGCTTCAATTTGAATATGTAAACTATAGGGATCTTTTAAATCGGTTACTTTGGATGGCGGATACAACAACTGCGTAAACAGCTCGGTATAAAGTTGAATTGTTGGTTGATGATGGCTCAAAGAATCATCATGATAAGCAGTACTTGCTTCAATCAGTCGTTCGATAAGCATCGAGTCGGTTAAAGACCGTAGGCCAGTTTTGTTATTGAGAAACCTCCGGCGGTGATCTGAGATCAGCTCAGGGTCGAGCTCTGGGCCTTCTTTTGGTGTATTAAAGCAATCGGCCATTTCCAACTCTAACGCAGCTGCATAACCAATGGTTCCCTTTTCAACACCTTGCATACTAAGCATATTTGGTCGTTCATGGCATCTAGGAGCGAAATGTGCCTTTTTGGTTTGCTTGACGTTCGAATTTATGACTGATTGGACTGTAGTGTTCGGAGAAGCAGTTATACATCCCCAGGCCTCATCTCGTATCTGGATATGGTCTGAAAGGTCCTTGGTCTCCACATCTATGTTCCAAGGAAATTCCACCGAAGGGTGTGGTGCACCAGCATTCTGACCTTCAGAATGAGCAAAGAATTGAGGGGCACCAGAGAAGAGCTTGTGCAAATCAGGAGGAGAAATCGGGGATATTATCCTCTCCAGCTTCACAGCTGGCCTTGAGATTGGAGGGGTTTCTGCCTCAATAGAAGGGCTGGAATCTGGCGGAGGCGGTAAAGGTTTATTCTTGTCTACCATAGTTGCGATGGGTGGCTCTGGAGGGCGCGTAGACTGGTGGGGTGCTTCAGATTTCTTCTAGATTATCAGATTAGCCATCAAATCAAACCTGATCCCATAGTGCTGGGAAACCATAAAATATTCCAAAGGATGGTGTGTTCAACCGAACATACCATGAAACTATTACGCCAGCGACTTGGTTTGTCTGGTTCGTCTGATTCTGTAGGTCTGTTGACCAAGTTCCGAAAGAATTCTCGAGTTGATCTCCTTCTCTGCGATTTTTCCGTGATTGTGTGTTCATGATCAAGGGTCTCAACGGGAACTTGAGCAGCTTGACCGTTCACCTGAAGCTGCTGACTGCCTCTTTTCGAAGATTTGAGAAAAGAAAGTGAAGGCATTGGGTAAGGAGAATAAGACCAGGGAAGGGAGTAGGGAGTGGGCCGGTAAAGGGGTATGACGTGGTGTACTCAAGTGACTTGCAGATTAACAAGCCACTGTACTTGGAAAAAGAAAAGGAATCAAGCAACGAGAAGAACCAGCCCAGTTTGGAGTGGAGTTTCAGAGACAAATGTCAAGAAAATGACTGGCTGGTATGAATAAAATAAGGGATTAGTTGAGTGCAGTAAGTTGTATGTGTTTTGGTAAAACTACAAGAGGGCGAGCGGCTGCGAAGACGAGGAAATAGACGCCGCGGTGGCTCAATAGCTTAATCAACAAGTTCCGGTGAATTGAAGTTCTGACCGTGCCATCGAGCTGCTCGTAGTGCAGTGGGTCCCTTCAGAATAATGCGGGTGTGATTGTGGCCCGTTGAGGAGGCAACTAAAAGCAGAATACCCAGGTAGGTTAGATGGAAATTCAAGCGGTGGAGTTTACTTACCCGGGCCTGGGTACCAGTACCTACCTAGTGGAGTGGAGGACCTGTCAAGTGTACTCGAACCTTACGTAGGTACTGACTACTCGGTCGGAGCAAACCTGGACATCGGTAGCGCTTACCATCTTTGGAAATGCTAGTCACGTCTTCTGAGACCTACAAGCACAACATGCTCCATTTTCTGGACTACCTTGGTTCTGAAAGTGAGGATTCTTGTCCAGCCGCAAGCTGCATTGTCGCTGCAAGTTTCATGCAGCTTGGCGAGAGGTTGTTATCAGCGTCGGCTATCGCGGCCGGATCTTCCCCCCCCCTCCCCCCATTTTGTCGATCCCCTGGGCACTTACTTCTAACCTCACTTTAGCATGAAGCTTGCGTTGCTCCCTCAACCAAACTCAGATGGATTAAACCCGCCATTTGAACAAGCGAAAAGATGAGTCTTTCAATTTTTGTATACCCTTTTCCTGTTACAATAACATGCTAGCATTCCGTGTTAGTTCTGTAACATACCCTCGAGTATTGTGTAAGCCTCGGTCCTTATGGAGCAAATGAGGCGCATCCAGAGCGAGATTGGGAGGGGCATGTTGACATCAAAAAGAGGAGAAGCTATTTTAGGAACACTAGAAAGTCAAACATGGGCCCAGCATGGAGTTTTCAATTCAATTACAAGCGACAGCTTCGTAGGAAGACGCACTGACTATTAGGTTCCGTCAAATGGTTTGTATGTGCGGAGCTCCATCCTGGAGATTTCTCATGAAACAAACCCCGCATATACCCCTCACTAAGTTCCTGTGAGAGAAATATTCAGATCAAATTCTCAATTAAAATTGGTATTGAACTATGGAGCATGTATGACCAATTCCGAACTCCAAACCATGTCGGGTATCATAGAAAACAATAACGCCGGCGAAAAAAGAGAAAACAATTAGGCTGGTGGTGTGTCATGAACAACCACAAATATGTACTTCGCGTCCGGGACGATGACCAATTCATGCTTCTTCGTTCGCAGACGTAAAAGTTTCATATCATCCTACAGTCGATTAGCTTGAGTCTGCAAGAGAGGATTCAAGTTCCATAGCTGGCTTCTTACCTCCGTATCAAGATCTTGAACAAGCCCTCCAGCCGAGTGAACGAATTTTGAGATCATCGATGCAAATTCCTCGACCCCCTCCTCCTTCGCAGAATTTGTATCGTTGCCAGAAACTGTCGAAACACTGTTACGCGGGGCATCGAGAGGTCGGAAAGAGGCGAAGGATCCGCTGGTTTGCAGAATGGTATTTAACGCTCGATCTAGGACCATCGTTGCCTTTACGTTTGGCTTTGCGGACAGCCGGGCCATGGTCTCAGAGACCGAAGCCTATCTCCCATGTGAGCTATGCACTCGAATGCAGCAGAGGATTTAACTTACCATGACGTCGGCGGAAGTCGTCTTGCAAAATGATACGGTCTTGGATAGCCTGGTGGTGAAGAAAATACTCGCGATCTGCATCAATCGCTCGGTGGTACGTGTTCCAAACCTTTGGTGGACTGTCTAGGTCAGGCGCAATTGCGAGGATTTGTTGGATTCTGATTTGATGCCAATCAACGCGTGTAATAGATTGGTTGGCAATGGTGTAATCAGCGGCGGTAGCAGCATCCAGGTATTTTATGTAGTTGCAGAGGGCTTTGACTTGTTGAGCATTTGCATAGATGGCGAGAAGAACGCGACAGATGATAAGAGCCAGGAGAATTTGGATGAGAAGGTCAACCTTAGAACAGGAGGGTTCGCGATAGCTGACAAGAGCCAGCAGAGCGGCGATGTAGAGAAGGAGGTGAGTCTTAGAAGAGAAGGGTTAGCTTCCTTGCGGTGCACAGAACGCGGAAAAAGGGTGATACTCGGCCCGACATACCAACTCCATTTCTGCTAACTTTTTAGCGAAGCCTAGGGTAGCAGTGGATAGGTAGTTTGTCAATTAACGTGAGTGACGAAATTTGTTACAACGTTGAAAGTTGTTTGCGAGTGATTGCGATGGGTTCAAGCGCGCGAAAGAAGAAAGAGAAGAAGAAGGATTTTCAGGTAAATCTGCGCATCCTCGGCGTTTAGTTTCTCCGCATCCGCTAACTCGAGATACTCAGAAAACCAAGCTCAAGGTGGGCAAGGCAAAGCAGAAGGCAGACAACGTCACGGATACGAGTTTCAGGAGTAAATGTATGTATTCAGAACAAACTGAGTTGCTTTCGATACTCTACAGTGTCTTCCTCGTCTGGAGGGTCTCGATCTATCTCACATCTTCTCTTCCGCCAACCAGATATCTATTTTTTCATATGAGCCAAACGCTGACATTTCTACCTAGCAATCACCGTCAATCAACAGTCTCTTACAACCACCGCTCCGTCATCATTCTCCCAATTCTCTCACTACGTTTCGCTGGCATCGTCGTCAAAATCAGACACCCAGAGAAAAGATGCTCTCTCCTACCTCACCACCCAGCTATCATCACAGCCTGTGAATGCCTCGATGCCATTACCAACTGCCATTCTTCTCCCCAAGCTGATTCCTCTAATCTTGGACGGATCTCCAGCCGTTCGGTCTCAACTCTTGAAATTTCTCCGCCTTCTACCACCCGCTGAAGTCGGCGATCGAGCCGAGCAGTCTTTACTCTACACCAGAGCCGGCATGACCCATCTTTCCGCGCCCATTCGAGTCGACGCTCTTGCTCTTCTGGAATGGCTATTGGAAGTAGCCCAAGAAGACATTGTGACGTGTCCAGGTGGGTGGGTGAAAACGCTCAAAAGTTTCATGTCCATGATGGGATGGGCATCAAGTAGTGGGTCCACGAAATGGACATCTGCTAGCCGAGCATCATTTGGTAAGGCCGGCAAAGCTTTTCCAAGACAGATCATTATGCTTGCGAAATTCCTACAAGCCGGGTTAGTTGAAGAAAGCTCCGAGTCGCTTACGAGTACAAGCAATGGTTTGTTTCCACTATGCGATGTGGAGGTGCATATGATTCCCGCCAGGTCAAACGCATTCGCACACCTGAATCTATTTGGTTCCTCCAGGGATGAGGAGGGAGAGATGTACATTGATAGGGAAGAACGACAAAGAGTCTTTGCGACTAAGTTTCAACCAGCGGTGATGGAGGGTCTTGAAAACGTCAAGAAGGAAGCGGGAGAGGCTGGAAGAGCAGCTGCAATTTTGAGCAAGGCTCTTCGTGAAGGAATGGTGGACTACAGTGGCATTGATGATACCCAATAAATGGTTTTGGTACAGGCGTTTTTGCTTAGGCGTTGTGGTGGACTCTGGGTACTCGAGAAACAAAAGTTGTGATGGAATGCTTACAGAAGAATGTGAATACAAGATTGTAATCTTTTCCCAAATTGTAATCTTTTCTAGCCAATTCCTTGAAGAATACAGATGGTTATCTAGTTTACTGGGATTTGTCCTAATATGGTTTTTTTGATTGTGCGAATGATGGAAGTAATCACTATCTTACCCTTCTCTAAACGACGTGAGGAGTATAACTGTAAGAGCCCTCCAATGCGTCATGGTATGTGTCAAAGCTACCTAGGGAATCCAGCGGCTCATTTGGAGTTCAATTTGCTGCTTGTTCTGGGCGGAACTATATGTAATAGCTCTGATCCTGACGTAGTTGCTCATTCCAAATCATATTGCTAAGGGGTATGTATTTAGTAAGAAATGTATATACAATAAGGCTCAACACAATTTACTTAGTATACGCAAAACACAAAACCCCACTACTTTATTTAATGCAATATACAAAAAAAAGTCGTTACCACCAAAGCTATTTATCTACACACCTTACAGCTCCCACTCCCTCTGGCTATCAGCTGCCCACTCCTTCCAACCCTCCTTCTCACCAGGTAATCTCACCTCTTCCCATTCTTCCTTCGTCACATTACTCCAATGACTAGCATCTATCCAGCCAATATACGCTCTATCCCCAAACCCCCCAACCCAGTAAATATCCTGCACAACCAGACGCACCCACTCACTCCGATGGATCTGGTTTCCGGGCAACCAATACTTGGCATCGGGATGGGTCTCCACGAAACACTTCCTCAGCGCCTCTGTGTCTTCCATCTTCTCCAGATATCCCAGGATACTGAAGCGCGGCAGGTTGGCAGCAGAGTAGGGAAGTGTTGGGAGCGAGGAGATCCGCTTCGCGGGTGGGTGAGGCGGTGTCCATTGCAAGGATAGGGAGGTGTTGGAGCCGGCGGCGGCGTTTTTGAAGGATGTTGCGATGTTGATTGCGAGGATCGTGGGGTTTCCTGTGCCTTCGCAGTCCGCTATGTAGTCCATTAGCCCGATGGGCATTCCTCCCAGACCTGAAGGTCGTTGTTCGAGGGTTTCGGAGGCATGGTTGGGAGAGGGGAAGATGGTGCTGAGGATTCCTAGGGAAGAGAGGTGGAGGATTCTTCGTCCGAGGACTGCGGACTCGTAGGCGGTTGGGATCTTGAATGTGGAGTGTACGTTCGATGTGTCTGCGGGGTTGGAGAAGATGTGTTGTGGAGAGGGGAGGATCGCAGTCGCTACGGAAGCGAGGCTGAGGATTTGGAGAAACATGTTTCTCTCTTCTGTATGTCACAATAAGAAGTGATAGTGGTAGGTTTAGCAAGAACAGCGGTAGTTGAGAGACTTCGGGGATTCGGACTTCTTTGAAGAGGGACGGTAAGTACTTTACCAAGACCAGGTTTGTCATGAAGCTTTGCGGAAGCGCTATCGAGAGGTCCGAGGTCTGCAGATAACAAGACCCCTGCAATCTGCCCTGGAGGCATGATTGCACTATCTTCATGTGATGAAAATATATCATTGCCACTCCAGATGTGAGTTATAGAAAGGTGACCATTGGTCGATATATTTGGAAGGTTTCCTAGAAGACATCAGAAATCTTAAGAAAAATCTCATTGGTACAACTACTCGGCAGAAGCACGCCACCAAGCAGACTCGGTGAAAGAGTCACGTGACACAAGTCACGCCTCGAGCTAGGGCACGTAAGCGAGGTCATCTTCCATTTCCACACATTGAATACTGACGCATCGACGACTTTCGCCTCAAATCAACGACCAACGACGCCAAATTCAACTTGTAAGTATCTGCTAAACCTTTCCATCAAATTTATCGCGCCCGTCTCACGGATCGTAGCGATTGTTGAAATTTGAGCTCCTCGCCGCCGCGCCTTTTAGAATTTGAAAGCTAATTTATTTGCCTTGCCACCCAGATCGGAAAAAGTCAACCCGATAAACCGCAATCATGGGAAAAGTTCACGGATCCCTCGCTCGTGCCGGAAAGGTCAAGTCTCAAACTCCAAAGGTACGAATATTCCGATTCTTGAAGATGTGCGATGGAATTGGAGGGGTTGCAGTGATGGGCAATGAATCAAGAGAGCGGGAGGGGCGCAGCCCATGGACATATATCGCTATCAGGGCATCAGGGCATCAAAGAATTTGAGATGTTGTGATCGCAAGACGAATGCTGACGGAATGGAACAAATAGGTTGAGCCACAAGAGAAGAAGAAGACCCCCAAGGGCCGCGCGAAGAAGAGAATCACATACACCCGCCGTTTCGTAAACGTTACCCTCACCGGAGGAAAGAGGAAGGTAAGCATCGCAGATCACGAATCCCAAATCCGCAAGGTCTAATGAATAATCCGCAGATGAATCCGAACCCAACCACATAAGGCAAAACAAAGATGGCTGGATGGACGGACCACAGGGGCGTTGGGCGGGAGAGAGTCCTTGATCAGACTTGAGACTGATGTTCTGATGAGTGGAGGAATTGCCAATCTACTTCAGGATGGGACCGCTCAATTAAGGGAGGAAAGGACGCATCTCATAGGCGTATCTGTACATTTGAGGAAATGCATCTTGCTGCTGCTTGATAAATGGAAGTTCTTTTCTTTCTCCCAATTCTCAGACTGTGAAGCTTGTGCCGCATGACAAATTTTGACAGTGACAAGTACGACAGATGTAATTTTCTTGATACTGTAACATTAACAGCAAGTGCTTGACATTCGTCCTCTGTGGGTCCAGTCAGTCTAGAAGAAACAAGAGAGGGGAATGTCAATTCTCCTTCTCCCAGCTATTCAGTATAATTGAGCTCAATTCTCCAAGGCTGGTTAGAACAACGGGAGGTGTGGATTGCGGATATTCAAATACCCAGATCAATTTCTTGTAAACCCTTGCTTTCCATACTGCTTTCTCAATTTCACAAGAAAAGTAACGTTCCATGAAATCCTTGAGCTAAATGCACAAATCAAGCTTCTTCCGCAGACTCATATTTCTTTCACTTCACTTGCTGCGAAATTCCTTTAGTGGGCTTCATTGTTACATTCCCTTAGGGCCACTGAAAACAGTTTGCTCTAAATGAGCTGTTGCAAAATTTGATCGGATATATTTACCAATGCGAGGGCGTTCCAGGTTGGGATATAGCTCCTGCAATTTGGTTTCCTATGCGTGATATCAGGATTTAAGGTATTTTCCATGGACTCGTAAACTTCCTACCATTTCGTCGGTCTTATATCATATTCTGATCCAAAGATCGATGATGGGAATTTATATGGGGTTCGAATGTCTTATGTGTAGAGTCATTTCCCCGTTCAATACACCACTCCGCATCTTCCAAATTTCCGATTCTCTCCTGTATCTACCATCTCATGATTCACTTTTATGCTAGGTACTTGCTAGTTTATTCCATCAAGTTTAGGTATTGATTTCTCAGCATCGGGCTCAACGGCATGAGATAGGTCGAGAGCTGTGGGCGAGGTTTCTCAGTCGCTGAGAAGCTGAGGTATTGAATGGAGTCAGTTACGATAGAATGGGATCCCCAGGACCAAGCTCCTCCGGAATATCTACAAGCTCGAAACCCGGGATTCTACGAGAAGCAATTGGGGTAGATCTTTGGCTTGCGAAGGGGGGTGGACTGCTGGTCTTAATGGACGGACTGCACATTTCCTTTTAAGTCCTAGTTACAACGGGTGTGGGAGTAAAAGAGGAGTTGTGATGCAGCTTTGCTATGTCGCTGGTCTATACCTATACTTCTTAGCACAGCTAACAGTGAACACCTTGGAATGCTAGTATACTTTCTCTCTCGTGTCTGTTTGCAAACGTTGGCGTCTTAGATAATATGAAAATAGCTTGGGCTGTACTCGAAAATAATTAACCAAATCCCCTTCAGAATAACAGGGCTGGCTGTAGTACTTAAGCTATTAAGCAATTGATAGAGTGTACTGTATAACTTATATGTTGAGATTACTCTGGCTTCAACATCATATCAAAGTATACAGAGCACTGCTTATACACCAGAACTTTGTAAGAGTTATTATTGTTGTCGTCGGGAATCGGTTCCCTTCTCCTTACTTCACTTTGATTCCCTAGATCCCTACCACATGACAGCTTGCGTATCCTACATCTGGGGAGCGCGTGCTACTAGCGTATTCCACTCCTTTGAACCAGTTCGCTCCTTAGCTTAAAGAAGTATAAGTCTGTCTGCTCTGAACAACAATACATATCTGATATCATCAAGAAGGACCTGATTTCTCATAGACGATAGTTTCTTCGCGATGTTCTGCGAATCACTTCTCAGGGTATTGATACCTGAAATACTTACGAAGGCTCATGATAACCTACAAACTATACTTTCAGGAGACCTTGCCGAGGATCTTCTATGCAGTCTGGTAAACGTGTAGTGCTGTGAAGAAGTGCTCATTCATTGTTATCGCAGCATGAAGGGAGGGTGCTTAGGTAGAAATTGTATTGATGTGCAGGCTATTTGATTCGGTACTTCAAAATCTATTCATTAGCTATAGGGCTACGAACACGATGGATTTGGCAGTGGATAGCCATGGTATGGTATTGATCAAGAACCGGTTTGACGATTGTAAGGTCACGATATAAGTACGTATGTGGATAAGGAGTCACTCGGTAAGACAAAAGTGATAGTAGTATTCGACTTCGAAAGAAAAGACTGAGTATAAGACAGTTTGCAGCTACATATACCTTGTCGTCGAGTTTGGTCGATTTGGGAGGCTATTTGGGGTCAAAGATATTGGTATACACGGATAATATCAATAGTATCACAAATTCAACGGAACAGGTTGGCTTTGATGAATATTTCAAAGGCTGTTACCGGCTCCCGGCTAATGGACGGTTATATATACAAGACCCCTTTTCCGAATTTCGATCCTCCTCGCTTAGCTATAGGAGGGGAAGTCTACTTATAGGTCGAGAAGGAAGAAGTGAGGCTCGTGAGTGGGATGGTTGTATTACGTGAAAGGGATGAGCATTTTTATATGTATACGTTCCTTGGTTTCTAAGTGGGTTCGTTGGTGCAATGGAGATAAGATAGGGTGTTTATGGATCTGGAGACTAGTTCGCGGGTTGGTGGTGATTGAGTGAGAAGCTGGAAATATGATGGATTTTGGGGATTGTTTATTATTAGTTATTTGGGAAGATTTGAGAGGGTTCTTGATGCCCTTCTTCTAAGAGGGGTTCGTTGCTTTTTATGTACTTTGTCGAATTGGTGAAGGTGTTATATACCCATCAAAAGGTCCAGTAGAAGCGGGAAGTTTGGTGATCTGGATAAGTAGGTGGAGTTAGTAAGTGTTGAAGAACGAAGGGAGAAGGAGGGAAAGGGAACGCAATGGGAAGAAGCATACCCAAGACCAGTAACAGGATCCCATCCTTTGTCAGCGAGGAAACCGGGTGTGCCACAGCCGCGATTGTTACCTGAAGTGATGTCGGTAAAAACCTCGGGGTGTTGATACTGCAGTTGCATAATTAGTCTCCAATTTCCAAATCATCTGGGAAGGTTAAAGGTAGAGGGAAAGGGGAAGAAAAAACGTACAAGCACAGGATGAATAAACCCAACAGTACTTTTGCCAGCCTCAATCCTCTTCTCGTTAATCAGCGTCAACACCGCGCCCCAAACCGGCGCCGACAACGACGTCCCCCCAACCAACCACCAAGACCCATTCGAGTAGGTCACCTGTCTATCCCCCACGGCCCCAACATCAGGATACGCCCTCCCACCATGATGAAACACCCCTCCATCGACGGAGCTAAAATCCCCATCGGTGACATAATGATGATACGCATCAAACCCCAGAGTCTTGCCCACCTCATCGAAATACTGATCCACCGCAACACGCTGATAGCTCGGAATCCCAAAGACGTTTGAGAAACCCCCTCCACTTGGGAACCTCGCCGTGGCCACCTCCCTCAGTTTCTGTCCGGGAACAGGAACAGTGCTGTTGTCAAATCGATCCCACTCCGTGCTTCCAACCGAGAGAACATACGGACACGAGCTCGCGTAATCGACTTCGAAGATGTTCCCCGCCTCACCATTGCACGTCCCCGCATCACCACCCACCCCACTATCGCCTGAGGACATGACGACCGTGACGCCCTGGAGAGCGAGCTTCATCCACTCGTTGCACTGACGCTTCATGTAGAAATCGGGGAGGTATGCCTCGCCTGCGCCATAGGAGATGGAAATCACATTGGTGGGCTTGTAGACGCCGCATTGGAGCTCGCCTTTGTAGCCCCCTGGGTTGGGATCCGGGTACGCGGGGTCGACGCAGCGTGGGTCGGTGCAGTCTCCTGTTTCGCCGTAGGCGGTGTAGTTGCAGTAACTGCCGTCTATGGCATCGAGGAACGCTGGGACGGGTCAGTTATACCTCGGATTAGCATTTTGAGGGGACACTTACTATTCCAGAAACCGTTGAAGTTACCGGTTGACTCGTAGTACTCGTCGTCTTCTTGGAAGAGAACCACTCCTTGGGGGTAGATTAGGGGCCAAGCGGAGTCGAAATCTAGGGCTGCTTCGAGCTCGATGGGGACGAACTCGGTGGTGTCTTCGGTGGCTCCGATGGCTCCGTCGATGAGACGTTCTTCGGGGTATGTTCCGTTGGGGATATGACTGAGACGAGGTTAGAAAGAACTTTTCAGCAACAGACTTCAGAGCTGTCTTACGGATAGAGAGTGCTAAAGTAGATATCAAGATCAGCTCTCGCATAATGGACATCCAAACTCTCAAATATTCCCAGCTCATTACCCGGAATAGCAGACGTGGCATTGGGAATGTTGTACTGAGCTACAAATGAACAAGTCAGGTTCTGTACACCACACAATGAAGGATCTCAAAACATACTTCTTGTGCACTCAGCTGTAACATAGATATCGCAGGTGCTGGCATTTGGGTTCGGGAATCCTGGAAGCTGGGTGATGCGAGGACTGGGTTTTCGGCTCGCGGCACGTTTTTGGAGGTCGCTGTCGCTGTCGCGTGATACCTTGATGTTCCTTTGTCGGAGTCGGGTACCGGGTGTCACGTAGTCTATGTGCTCTCTGATGTGGGCTGGTACATGGTACTCCTCGGTGGAAATGTCCAGAGTTTTGGAGGAGTGTTCCCAAACGTAAAAGTCTGCCGAGAGAAGATCCTCAACTTCAGCGGCTGGAGCGTCAAATTGGATCCACTGGTTTATCTTGCGTTAGCAATTTTTTGGATTTCGGAGATAGTATCTGGGTAAAGTATCACCTGTTTGTTGGCAGAGATTGCGAAGCGGTCTGTGGTGATACCGGATGCAACCAGCCATTCAACTACAGCATCCGTAGTCGATTGACGAGGAGCAAAAAAGTCCACAATCTCTTCCGCTGTCATATGTCGACCATAGTTATCCGATCCTGGAGTCGAACTTTGTGAAGTTAGTATGCTGAGTTGCTTCAATTGCGTGGATGGAAATGTTTACTTACATATCCATGAGCTTCTCGTGACCTGCTTCGAGATTGTGTTGCTTTAAACCAATTCGCATAGGCAGAATTTGGGTATCAGGTACTTTTGACCTCTTCACCCATTTCCTTGATATTTGAGGCAGATGGCGCTCATGAAGACTGTGAGAGGGAGGAGCTACTCGCTTGATTCGATCTCCATTGAAAGGTTCAGAGAGGGGTCCGGCCAAAGTCTTGAGGACAACGCCACTTGTGAGTAGCACCGCAAAGGAAGGAAGCAACATAATAACGGCTCAGTCTACTCGAGAAGTGGATTAGAAAGGAGTAGAGAAAGATTCGAATTATCGGCGGAGCCATTCTTCTTATTAAAGCAGCTTCCCGTGAACTGCTTTTGTCGGTATCCTTCATATTGGCTGCATGAATTGGTGCGGCACAGGGTGCCGAACTGCAGAAATGATGATGATTTCGTCCTGATTCCATTGTTCTGGTACATCTGAGATAAGGTTGTTATGCTTAAATAGGAAGGTGAGTTCATTAGATATCAAGTTGTACCCGGTAATTTGAGGGGTACCTTGTCGCTCATCATTGAACCGACTGGGGCATATGAGCTTGTTAGAGCTTCCAAGCAAAGCTTGTTAGTGACGACCGGGTTTCTGTGCAGGTTTCGTACGTACGACATCCCCAGTACAACTCCCTGGACTTCCTGATTAGATACCGAAGGACTCAACCCGCACCAATTAAATATACCAGCATGTACTCGCCCGTGAGAGATAATCCAATAGTGTCATCACTACAGTCGTGCAATTTATCCGGTTGATGTTTGATTTGAGTAAAAGTAATTTTGAGTTCCATCATAAGGTTGATCATAAGGTTGTCGTTGAATATCAAACTCAGTTTTATCGATTCTCATACTGTCACCGCTACTATTTTCGTATTGTCAATTATTGAGTAATCGCTCTGTCATGTCCATCTTTGAATATGAGAGTTTTGGCGATAAGGCAGAGTGTGGTTCTTACGATTCATATCCCCAGATAGGATACAAGCGACCAACATAGTCCGTAGTAAGAGATAAAAAGTATGTCTAGAGGGAACCTTTGGTTCTGAACCCCGTAGAGAAGTGTCGAGATTATGACAAATAGGAGCGCTGCTTCGTATTGGATACCTTTCCGTATTTGGTAGATCAGATGAATTATTCCGTCGATGTTGCGAAGGTTTGGGAAGGCTTCCATGGTTGAGGATAGAAGAAGGTTTGGTAAGATTACTGTAAGTCTTTTCGATATAAGATTTTGTTGGTTCATTGGAGGGCGGTGAGTGCAGTCATGGATAGACAGAGTAGTACTGAAAAGATGGTGGAAAGGTGTTTTATCTTCCTTTGTATGAATTTCAAGAGGATTAAAGATGTGTTTTCGCTAGATTTTAGTATCGTGATTTAGTGGGCGACTTCGTACTACAGAATGTGATGACGGAAAGTCGATGTAGTGACAATTGGGACATGCGCTGGTATAAACTATCGTACTAGCTTCTGAGAAGTGCAATCCAAGCTGGAATAATAATCACGAGAGAATAGCCCAGCTCTAATACCTATGTATCCAGAATAGGCGGATAGGTTGAAAAATCTTTTCTCCCTTATCCTGGGAGTTTCAACGGCACCATTTCTCAAGCTGATTGGGAATCTCGCATCGCATTCCGCTTTCGGAAAGAGGGACATTTCGACACTGCGTTCAGACGAAGTGTTTACTGGGATAAAGGAGTAGCACTTATCTGACAATTCATTTGAGCTTAAGAACATACTATAATCAAAATAACATTTGGATACAGTATGTCCCAAAACATCATTTCCGGCATCAATACGAAATACGAATACACGACTTCTCAAGCGCTGAAACTTTTCAACAGAAGACTTGCCGTGGGAAAATAGCTGGATCCGTTCAAGGTCATCTGGTATGATATTCATATTTGTCCCGAATGTCGTGATGTGATTCCATATATATATATATATATATATATACATAAATATATTGTCGTTCTTGAAATCCAGATTATTAGGAGCATCTATGTCTGTGCTTGGTGTTGATGTCAGGAGGCTTTTCGAATGTTTCTCCGACAGCAGCGCAGCTTCCCGCCTTTGGAACGCTGATCAGCTCTCCATTGGCCTGGCGCTGTTGGATTCCGCGTCGGGGTCGCACTTGCTTTTCCATAAAGTAGACATGCAGCTGCAGTTTTGACACATGCAATCCTCTGTACAATACATACCACTGTTGATGTGAACAATGAATTGTTTCTCATTCCCATATAAAAGCGACGTTATCACCGCAAGAAAGCAAACGCGTCAACCCCTCCCAAATCCACGCGTACCCTAGTGCCAAGAACCCCACATTCGGCGCATCATCAAGATGTACGATCACCACCCTTCCTCCCCAGACAGCTTCTACTCCGCCATTCAATCCCCAGAAAACCCAGCCAGTGACCATGAAATGACTGACGTCCATGACATTCCCGTACCCGCGAAGAGATACTGTCCTTCCAAAAGTCCTGCGAGAGAAATCCAGCAGCATTGCCATATCTTTTTCGATGAATCCCTGTGTACGTGCCTGGTCAAATCATATTTGTGTACCTCGATACACGCGCTTACACACCAGCAGACCACAGCGCACTGAGTCTACTCAGTGATCTCGTTACAGCCGGCGCATCCCATCCAGATTGTCTGAATAGACCGGCCATTACTCCTATTCCCTTCCATATCGAACTCGTCAGCGCCCTGCTGATACATCCGCGATGGACGACACATTTACTCCAGAATGAGAGCGCTGACCTACCTGCGCGAGCGATTACCCTTCTGCGAAATATACTCTCAATACTGGGCCCACTGAATGCGAACCTAGGCGAGGCATTCTCTTTCTCCGAGCCAGAAGGTCATAGGCCAATGCGGGGTGGTCGCCCACGACATGTCGCAGAGACAGATACAGGCAGCAGTTCTTCAGAGGAAGAAAGGCCGGATCGTATGCTGGGAGTGATCGCGAATAGCGGAAGATTACGCAGATGCGCAAAGGATTTTTGGCATATAGTAGGATGGGCTTTCAATTGCAGTGTGAAATATCCAAAACGATGGCAATATTGGAAGGTCTGGTTGGAGTTTATGTTTGATGTTCTACACGAAGATTATGAAGAGAGGAAACGACTGGACTTAGAAAAGCACGAAAGGGATGGGAGGAGGCCGAATCAAGATCCTGAGTATTCTATGTTACGGAACTCTCTGCTGCTTGAATATTTGGTTCACGTGAAGGGAAGGACTTCTGCTTTGAAGCGTGTTGCGAGGTCGATATTTGCAAATGGGCAAGAGGCCAGTTTGAGGGAATTCCCAGAAGTATATCCGAACGAAACCAGAGTTCCAAAGGATGAACAAGGCCGAAAGCGAAAGCGGGAAGACAGTGTGCAGGAGGCAAACTTTGGGGATTATAATGACGAGATGGGAGACGATGCTTTTGAAAGCCCAAAGTCGCCATTGAGTGATGACGAAGGAGAGGAACCCGAGGTTGATCTGCTTCTGGGAGGAACGGAGTCTATTGCTCTAAGACAGTGTATAGTAAAACTGGTATTTCAACCCCAAACGGGATCAAAATGTCGTAGACTAACAAACTCCAGCTTTCCCAAGCGACAGCCGATATATCAGAAGAATTCGCCGGCACGGTAGACTACTTCGACTCCATATACGAATGCACGAAAGTGCTACCTAACCCCGCATTCTCACTATTCCTCTCACCCTCCAGGACATCGCAACTTCCAGTCGTCGTTCAAACCTCCCTCATCCAACTCAGTCTCCTCCGACTCCTCCCCAACAACGCGCCCATTCCAGCCAAAGTCCTAGGTCGATCAAGAGACGAGGTAACCCAGGAGGTCCTCGAGAAATGCTATCTCCCCTTTCCCGCCATGACTTCCTCCGTGGATGACAACACCAAGCTCTCTATCCTGATAGAAAACATCTTCCGGATTTATGTCAAGCAGGATGGTGAATGTTACCATACACCCGTCCTGGATCACGCGATCGAGAAGGGCATTAAAGCCCGTGAGAATAAGATTAAAGATGATAGAAAGAAGAAGAGCGCGCAGGTGAGGAAGAGGGATGATGCGGATAGGGCGATGATGAGGGCTAGTGCGGAGAGACTTAGGTCGCTTTTTAAGTGGATTGAACATAAGAACCTTGCGCATAGGAGGGCGTGAGGGGTTGTTGTGATGGGGTGGGTTGTTGATTGTGAGGTCTTGTATAAGTAAATTACTTGCTTTGAGCGGCGGTATTGTGGCATAGGTTGGACGGATTTGCATTGCATGGGTGTGGGCATTGGTGTTGGTGTTGGGGTATGGAGGAAATATCATTGTATGATTCTTTCTAATGCATGAGTTCCACCAGCTCCATTATAGTAATTCCTTACCCGACACCTCTAGGAAAACATTCTTTCCTCCAAGTTGAAACTTAGTAGAAGGTGCTTGTGCTTAAGCTCATGAGACCGAGTGCGGGAGCTGAGATCATCACGTGTGGGCTGGGTGGTGGAGTTCCAATTGCTAAGTTGGAGCGTTGGAGCGTTGGAGCGTTTCCCCCCGCCCTTTTTTTTTTTTGTCGCACTTCGCAAAAGTGAACCCATCCGAGCGGTCACAGTAGCTTGGATTAAGCGAGGTGAGTTGACCCCCTTTTCCTTTTGTTAGTCGAAAGTCTGAGGCGTTGCGCCCGAGCTCAGGACGTGTTTACGTGTTTTTGTGAGCCCCTAATTTCAATCCGTGGGGTTTGTGGGATGGATTTGATGGGCTGGATGGTGGGAAGGTGGAAGGTGGTGGTAGTGGGTGGACTGGCCATGGAACAGGGGAGTGGTTCTATGTACTATTAAGCAAATTCTCAGCGTCCTTCGGGACAAGTTGGCGCAGCAGCAATACAAACATCATTCCAATTCTCACTTTCTCTGTGGCTGAGCACGGTGACGGTGGTGTTCTTTCTGGGGTGGTGCAGTAGTCAATATGGATGTAGTGGGTGCGATGGGTGGGTCGGATTAGGGCTGACATTTTTGGGGATATAGGAAGTAGGTAGCTTGGTTGGCTGAACGGCTTTGTTTCAGCCAATTGTCGTGCTGTGATTACTACATTTCGTAATGGTCTTCCATTCATACCATTGCTAGCGAGCTTATTGAGGTTGGTTACCTGTCAGATCATCAGTATCCAGCAGCTCAGACTCATTTTCGCTTGATGCATCATTATTGAAACTCTCTAGGCGTTTGACGAAAATTTCCCAGACTTTTCTTCTTTGTGCTGGGCCTAGATTGGAGGAGTAAAGAGCGAGTTGTATTTGCTATCGAACGGGGTGTTAATAAGGACATGAATCTATGATGTCTTAACGGCGTACTTCTGGTTATCATTGACTTTGAGGATTGATTCATCGCCCTCGGGCCATCCGATTTCCTCATATGATACGATGCTATCTGGTTCTTGATTCGCAATTATACAAGTGGGACGGGAAAGACAATTGAAGTGTCTCGCCGTGATCATAAATTTTAAGGAAAGACTATTAACTTTGCTATATTACTCGCTTAGATATTCTGATATATACTCAAAAGGATATGTCATATTTCATGTTCGGCTCATTATTGAGGCCTTTTCGAGCATCGTGGTCTCTGAGTCTTAATCGATTCTAACAGAACCGGAGATAGAGGCCCTCCAGACTACAATGAGCGTCCAAACTTGGATAGTAATTGTTTCCATTGTCCGTGAAATCCGTCATTTCTTCAAAGCTTGATCAAAACTTCCAGAAACAATGCATAATGATCCTTTGACAGGAGCTGCCCTCAGGGGGTCCTGATAGATAGTTCATTCTGTTTAGACTTCAGAAACCCGTAATCCTTCATCGGATGTTTCGTCGCTGAACCTACGTCGTCTGTATACACTGAATGAGTTCACTGTCCTCTGTCCTCTGTCTTGCTATGAAGTATCAACGTCTTTGAAGAGATGCAACCTTTCAAATGCTCCAATTCGGTATTAATATCAAGGTAAGCCATGGGAGCATTTGAATAGGTTGTGTCAATCCCACTGCCGCGCCAAACTTCATTTAGTATTTCCCATGACCAATTTTCCGGGTTTGAGGCTTGATCAAAGTATTTTGTGTACTTTTAATCAAAAGATTCTTTGATGCAGTTCTTCGGCTGGATTAGCTTATGGAAGAGGCTTCGCGGGGAACAAGGGCGTTGTATCTTGGATTCTTATGCTATGATGGTGAGAAGGTGTATCTGGTGCCGAGGATTCTTCCTGTGGCACTTTGAGCCTAGAAGTACTATTTTTTAATGATATTACCGGTAGTCTTTTTTGAGAGAACAAGGGGGAAGCAGCCGACCCGTGCCTTGAGAATTGAATACAGGATAATGTCGACATTTCGAGGGGGAGTGAATTAATCGACTCAACAGTAAACCAATAGTGTGGGCGCTCAATACTCACATAGCATCTCTCGACAGGCAACGAACTTTGAAATGCCATCAGCTATTGATGTGTTGAAACATCTAGTCTTGAAATTTCTACCTCACGAAATGCTGCAAGATAAGAGAGTGATAGAACCGAATCTGGATGGGTTGTTAAACATCTCGGCTCGCCTACTGCGGATTTACCACAACTGTATCGAGTACACTTTTCGATACGGAAAGTTTGGGGCTGAACTATGAGAACGCCGATGTCTGGCTAATAAGGTTCACGGAAACTCTTGGAAAGAACGTTATGAGGAATATATCTATGACAGTCAAGGTAGATCTCATGGAGTTATCGCAAACCAATTTCTGTCGAGCCTTCCAAATTCGGCAATGGCATATTGCACTTGAGAGGTAAGAGAAAGCAGAATCTTGCGAAACTCAAGGAATCTAGAAAATCTACTCGAGGAAGTTCCAAGAAAGTAGTGATTCGTCCAGGAATCGGTTAATTTCAGTAGTAGTCACGTGGGTGCTCTCCCCTTTCTGGGAAAGCAAGATGGATGTGTTTAGGGGATTTCGTAGAAGAGTATATTTCTTCTACGACTTTTGTTTCCAAATATATTAGCCAAGCTTTCCTGGAATAGTGCAATTGCTTCATTCAATTTCGTGAATCTCTTGGATTGGTTATGTTGGTGAAGCCAACGGGTGTTATGCAAGCGCTGTTCATAGCTGCCAATCGGAGTAAGCAGTGTGCATAGCGCGTAGTACAGTAATCACCCCACTCAGTACTGGTGTAGATTACTACACACAAGTTATCATTCATCAAGGGCAAACTTCGTTGGAAACTTTGGCAAGTGACATGAAAAAAACCATTCCGATCAGTACGATACCCTCCGGGTCATCAATAGGCCGGAGACTTCATGCATCGAACTTCTTTTTTCTCAACAGTCATATTAAACATACAAAATCACCATCACGGCCCCTGACTTTCTGTTCACCTGAAATCAGGAGAAACAAACCATATATTGCCTCACAGGCCGGAGATAGGACAAGAAAAATGAGCCGTGTTCCTATCGAGCCCCAACGGGTTGACGCCCCTTTAACACAATCAGCGACATTCCTCGTCGTATCCATTGTAAAAACGTCCAGCGAGTCGCAAAGTTTCTCGCCGGATGCAATCAAAACAATACGCTCTGCCCTCGCAAGCTTAGATGATCTTGCAAAGAATGTAGCGAGTAAGCATCACCGAATCCCTTGAAATCATTCGGGTTTCTTTCAATTAGAGAGTATGAAGTCGATAACCAATTGCTTCTTTCAGTTCGAGATCTCAACGCTTCGTTTGCATGCACTGTTGGAATAGGAGCCTTGGCATGGGATAGTGTAACTCGTCTTCCACGCCCCTCCGAACTGCACATATTCTCAGAAGTGAAGGGAGCCGTTCATACCGCTCCTTCCACACCTGGTGATCTCTTCTTTCATATTCGTTCCGAACGTCGCGATCTCTGCTTCGAGTTTGAGAGACAGCTATTATCTCTCCTCGGTTCCTCCATATCGGTCGTTGACGAGACGGTAGGATTCCGCTACTTTGATGTCAGGGACTTGCTAGGTTTCGTGGATGGTACGGCCAATCCTGTTGGACCAGCCGTTCCAGACTCGGTACTTGTTACCCAAGAAGATATCGGAGTAAGCTCTACAGATTCTGCCTCAGTTTCGGCTGTGGGAGGAAGTTATATTGTTTTACAAAAGTATTTGCATGATATGAATGCTTGGAGGGCATTGAAAACAGAGCAGCAAGAATCGATCATTGGCCGCACGAAACTTGACAATGAGGAATTGGATGATGCACCTGAGGGTCGACAGCTTTCACATAAGAGCTTGGCAACTATTGAGGATGATTCTGGCGAGTACGACATACTGAGAGATAATATGCCTTTTGGTTCGCCTGGACAAGGAGAATATGGCACGTATTTCATCGGCTATTCAAGGAGGTTATGGGTCATCGAGAAAATGCTTAGGCGAATGTTTGTAGGCGTTCCAGAGGGAAAGCATGATCGATTACTGGATTTCTCAACGCCAGTAACAGGGTCCACCTTCTTTGCCCCGAGCGCCAGTCTGCTTGCTAGTCTTGGAGATGATTGAGGTTCTTGCTTTCACGTGTTGTAGCTAGCACTTCACTTAACTCAGTTCAAGTGTTCTCCATAAAAGATAACCACGCCTTTTAACATCACTCCCTCGATGTTTCTCTTGTTTAACAATTTTACATAGACTATCACTGCGGCAAGAAACTCGTTAACGTCTGTTGAAAGCATTTTTAATTCCATGCCCCAACACTTACGGCATCCCAAATCTACTACCAAACCAAATAACTAAATGGCAAATCGCAGAGTGAAAAGAGTATTATGAATTTACTAGATTACCTTTAAAATATCAACAATCTGCTCTAAAAACAGATCTAAGGTAGGTAGGGTTAATACTTAGATACTATTTTTTTACTAAGTTTGGCTAGTTTCCATACATAAAACCCTAACCTTGAAAGTCGCTTAGAAAGGAGTCGTAAGGGCGATGCGAGAGCATTTCAGGGTGCTCAAGCTTTGACGGCATTTTCATTCATAATTCAGCTCGACGCTGATTTCCAACATAAACTTGTAATCAGAGAGACAGATTTGGCTACGAGTACTGGCAGTAAAATTTGCGGAGGGTATAAAAACCGATCGACCTGCAGACTAAAAGGTTTGAAGAAGGTGCGATCATACGCAAACCCACCTCTATACGAGCAATTCAGAGCCTCTGATTGTCAATTGCAGGAATTTCTGTGGCCGAGCTGTAGTACAGATAAGGGAGGGGGGCAAATTAAGGAGCCTATGTGTTTACCCACTTTACGCAAGCACCGGGCCGAGGCCCTGACACAGTAATGACCCTCTCTAAAATCCACTTTCGCTTCTATTTCAAACGTTCTCCCGGATCTGCCGTTCCTATATAAGAGTTGCCAAGGGCAATCACAGGAACTTTTAGTGTGGCCAAGCATCAAACCCTCGGGTAAATAAGTGCGGGCAGCTCAGACAACCCACCCTAAAAGCGGGACAAATATAGGTGGATATACGGAGCTCACTACTTTATAATACATTTATACAACTTTGTGCTGTCGCTAAGCAGTGTCTAGTATAAAAAGTGGCCAAATTTGGTAAAAATAACATAAAATAAGCAACAGTATCTTCGTATAAACCCTACCTATAACACATTCGCTTGCGGGGTGAATTGTCTGAGCTGTCCACCCTCCTTACAGTAACCAAGAGTTTGATGCTCGTTTAGAATCACTCGCTCCACTCCAACTCTATCAAGCATTCCTATTCTTAGACACATATCTGGAGGAATCGGAATTAATATATAAACACTGGAATTCCGATTGAAGTTTTCGCTCTCCATCCTCTTCATCACACTCTTTTATTCGCTTTTGAATTCTTTCCTTCTTTTCTTCTACTCGGTTAATATATGCACTTTCGTTTTCAACATGCAACTCTTCAACTTCCCTATCGTGGTTCTCCTAATGAGTTCCGCCTCATTTGTAAGCGCTCTCCCTGTCCAGTAAGCTTTCTCGTCTTATCCGATTATACTTCATATGAACTAACTCTTGATAGATCTGCGTCCTCTGAGCAACCCCAACCCCACGCAGACATTCATGCCCGCTATGGACCCTATCTTACTCAAGGCTTATGGCGAATGAAGAACGAGGCAGCGATAGCAAAACAGTCGTCGGCCCTGCGTAAAGAGATAGCAGATGTCCTTGGACCGGGCGTTTTCAAGTCGGCCCCGAAACCTGTTAAACTTGATTCGGCGGCCACGGTTTCAGCTAAGAAGGGCGTTACTGACACCTTTGGTTCTGTCCCACCAGGATTGAGGAATGGCCTAGGGTTGTAGGCAGCTGCTCTGGACAATACATCAGTCAAGCCGTTTGGGATGAAGGTCAACTAATGGGGGAGGGGGGGCGCAGGCAATGGCGGAATACGACTGGGAAGATCATAATCAAGAAGGCCTAATGGGACGTCTGCTCGTGACGTTGAGGAAGACAGAACTGCTACGAAACATGTACTGTTTTAATTTGATTATAAGATAACACATCATACGAAAAAAAGTCTATTTAAGGCCGAATATAAACCTTATTCAGTAAAAAGTTCAATATCTCGATAAATATTTTTGCCATTTTTTGGAGTGTTAGTAATTCCCGCCACTCCCAGCCTTGATACTGAGAAAGGTACTTGAGCTTCAATTATTCAGAACTGAAGTTTATTCAGTTTATGATAGTAGGGCAACCCCTAGTGGCCCCACGCTTTTCATCTCTTACCTAGCCCACGTGCACCAAAGCAAAAGGCCATTGATATCATAACTAGACCCTCTTTAAGCACATAAATTCTGAGCCAGGCACTTGGCCTAGCAGTAAGATGTTGTCCCGTCAAAAATCCTTTCCATCAGGCGGGCAGGCAGAACGAAACTGTTATGCGCAAGTGATTTCTAACAGTGCGCAAACTTAGACTCGTGCGCCATGAGTTTTTACGCTTTTTGCCCTGTGATTTGTAGACCTTTATCCAGGTATTTTTGGGGGGGTTTTAGTTTGGAGGTCTGCTATTAGGTACAGTACTCGTTCAAGAACGAATAAGAGGTTAGCGAATCAAAATTGTACATACAATCACTATCTAACTACTATACTATAAACAACTCAACTCCCACTACTTATCTAAACGAAATCCCCGCCCAGCATCTAACCCCTAGTCCCTCTGCCTTTCAAAAATTTATTTTCAAGAAGGATGAAGAAGGTTCTCGTTTATTGATTGTAACGTATACGTTAGCGTCGTTGCCGAAGGTCTTGGGTTTGTTCAGATCTGTGTTTAATTTATAAAAGATACCGATACCTGTAGAGTGTACTAACGGCAGAGCTTTGTATGGACGAATGAGTTCTGCAAGTCGAGTCCCAGCGTGAGAACAAACTAATCACTTAATTGATTAGTAATCGACTAAATCATGATTAAATTGATTTGAATTAGATTAGGAACTTTGGGTGATTAAATAGACTAAGAGGCGTTTATTTAATTAGATTAATTAGATTAATAGTATATATTTTGAAGTACTACTTATATAGTTAGAGAAGCTTTTAAAGGGCGAATAAAGAGAGAAAACAAGAGTAAAGATATAATAGATAATTTACTAACTAAGGATAAGTAACGTTCCTATAGACTAAATATTGCAACTAGTATAGAGGGTTATATATAATGATATGATCTACCTTAAATCCTACTTATATAGTAGAGTTTTCTCGTCTAAGTCTAGGCTCCTTAGAGCGTTTTTATCCTACTTTGACTATCTATTCTATCCTTTATCTTATATAGTATAGAGGCTCTCGCTTAGCTAGCACGTGGTCTGCCGAGTACCCTCCGAGCCCTCGGTCCGTATTAATCAATTTAATTAGATTATATAATTAATCATGTGATTAATTAAGATTAGGAGGTCTAGTTGATTAGAATAACTTAGATTAAGAGCTCGTTAGTTAGTCTATTCTAATTATTTCTCACGCTAAAGTCGACTCTTGTTTTATTTATTCTTTCATTTTTAAAACATATTCTTACTCTAAACGAGAATTCGAAAGTCTTTGTTCAAAATATTTTCATTTCTATAGCCCAGATTATACTCGTAATCTGGTAGAATAGAGCTACTAACTACTGACACCTACTAGGTAAGACACACCTTCCTGTGAACATCTCCCTCAACCTCACATACTAAACCGAGATTTATATACGATGCCTCCTACACCTAAGAGTCGCCGCTGTGACACACAACCTCGAAATTTATGCCAAGTACGGGATCGTGTACAAATGCGGCGTAATAGCCTGGATGATATTTGCGTAAGCCTAGTGGGCCATTGCAGGAAGCACCAGCTTCGAGAGCAGCGGTGTGGAACTGTCGCACTTGCTCAGCATCTGTTATTTGCTCGATTTAGTTATGTTTCTTCATGGGTAATTCCAGCAGAATCAATTTACTCTCGGCAGTGAACGCGATATGACTCTTCTTCAATAGTCCCATCGAGCTCTCTTCTTGTCCTTCTTCAGCCTCTGAGGTCCAGATCCAGAAATATGGCTTGTCCTCGCCAAATCCAATGACATTTGGGCCCACACGCATGATTTCTTTGAAGCCAGTGGGCGCGAGAGCGATTGTGAGGAATTTGGCAATATCTTCAAGTTTGCCTTGAGGTACAGTGATACAGAAATGATCGAGAGGCATGGTGGAGTATTATAAAAGAATTTTCTATCTAGATCAAAATTGACTTTCTGCTTTTAATTTGTGAAAGGAAGTACAGATACAGTAGAATGGCGGTGTATTTATATTCTTGAGGACCGCGTAGCCCCTCCCCCAAACACCAATTCACGTGGGTGGCTGATGTGTGTCAAATGTCAGCTCACAAACCCCGCTCTTGAACCAGCCTATGATGCAGTGCCATGCACATTGCTTACTGTACACATTCAGATAGGAGTATTTTGGAAGTCCGTGTTCTGGTCAAATTTGCCGAACGTCCCCATGTCTATAAACATGCCAAAATCATCCTGATTGGTGAGTTGAATCGTTTTTGACGTCAAAGGTTAAATCACAGGCCGGGGAGGATTAACAGTAAACAAGTAAGTGTAGAAGTAGAAGAAGCAAGCCCATTTTGTGCAGGACTAACCAATCCTCTTGAAGTGTCGTGCTATAATATATACTGGAATTTGAGAAGAACATTGCTCATCCAGCAGGCCACTGTGTATCAGTATGTGCGAGGGGGTTCTAGAACCAAATTCTCGACCTTTTAGGACCAGAACTCCGAAGATTCACCGGTGAATTCTTTAAGTGAATTCCTCGAGGAACAAGTAAGAAATGTGCTACTTACTCTGCGTATACTGCAAGAAACTGTATTAGGAAAATAGAAAAGTCAGCTCAACTGTTCCAAAGCAGTTGGCCTCACATAGTGTAATAAAAGTCAGCATAGTTTTCACCGCCTGGTAACACGTCTTGGAAATCAGCCGTCCTCCTGCAGTACATAATTTGTAGGTGTGGAAGAAAAAGGTCAAGTCACTATCAGAGCATCGAGAAAGGTCCAACCACTGTTGTACAGTACCACGAGATTAACGCAAGGCTACAGTACGCCTCGAGATGGCTTGGAATAGTTCGGGACTTTACATTTGCCTAAGCTATTTTAGTATAGACAAGGACCTGTCTAAAAGGCTTGAGGAGAAGTTAAACGCGGTCAGAAGCCATGGCAAAACTTCTCACTCCATCAATGCCTCATATATATAAATAACGGCAGGGCAGATTAGTTTGAATCGATGTACGGTGCTATGATACATACAATAAAAACCTTTGGGCCGTTCTGATTCTGGAAATTTCAATTCCAGCACGTGAAACGCTGAATGCATAAAGTGAAGGCGACATTCCAAACCCTATCTGGCAAGATAAAACTTTTCGAGCTCATATTATATATAGATGCTACAGCAATATATCAGTCTCAACTTTTTCCAACCACAATAAGACAAGGTTACACCATCTTCGAAAGCTGAAAGCCACAATTCGTATACATAAGCTTTCATGGAACCTCCCGCTCTTCCAGTATACATTCCCATTTCCCAAATTCCCAAACTAGTACATTACATCCGGATGGTTTTCTCTCACACCATTTGCCACCGAAAAGCACCCCACAATACTCGTGAAGTCTAACAGTTTCAAGAAAATAGTTGACTGTTTCTATTCTTCTTGTTGGAAGTTGGAAGTGGATGCTGTGTATATCACTGTTAAGTCAACGAGTCAAAAAACCGAGGAGTGTGATCTGGTAGTCTCCTCCATTGTATATAAGCGTGACCTTCCTACACTTCACGAATCAGTAGTTAATTCAGGAGATATCTATCAACACTTTGATCAATATTACCAGTGCCGTTGATTCTATTACAAGATGTAGTTCATCTGAATTGTATCATAGAACTCGCGAGAGCGAGCGTCTATTCTGGTCTGTCCCATAAATTTGTTGGAAGGACCACCAATGAAGCTGAATTTGCCGTATATGGGTTTATTTCAAGTCGAGCCAATCCGACTCGAGAGTACGTAGCAAGTTTGTAGAAATGGACCTAACATTCATTAGAAACTTTTCGAGTGGAAAAAAGTAATTTCACCGTATTTTCATACCATAGACAGTTGTTACTAGTTGCAGATGCTCCCAGATCGACGCAAGGAGGGATTTTTTTCAGACATTTGTTGTGACTTGGTTCCCATCACGAAGTGGCGTACGAGAATGTCGCCCAAGCCTTGTCGTATTGCGTGCCTCCGTAAAGACCATACCATCGCAGCTATCGACGATTGAAATTTAACGCGTTCTATCTAAGGGCTTGAGGGTTGTCGAGTTGGAGTGGAGGCAGCTATTAGACTTCCCCTGGAGCACTCGCGAAGGCTGTTACTCCCTAGGATGTGACATAACGGCACTGATCTTTTGTCTTGGATGGTTCTCAAACTCGATCGAGTGCGAATTTTTTTGAACTCTTTGGTGTCCGCATTTCATCGTGAAATAACTGCCAAACCAAATACTTCTACGCAGGTGGAGTTGATGGTATATCAGGGTCGCCAAGCCTTTGCGCCGAATGAGGCCGTTCATTGGCTAACGAAAAGCAATGATACCTTTTACAGATGGTAACGAGTACAACCATTCGTTGAAGTCGGTTGAGAAATTCAATTCGATGATCCGGAAGAAACAATTGAATGATTTGAAGCTACCAATTTAGAACAACGTGATAAGCACTTTCTACCAACGGTTGCCACTTTTGATGGGGTTAATCCGGTGTAATCGGCCCCACTGGAGTTGTGATCTTACACAGCCCCCACAAACCTCTGACTTTTCGTATTTCTAAGCACAAATAAGTTGCCACGCATTCATCCAAAGGCAGCAGCTTTAGGATAACACGGGTGTTATGGTCTAGTGGTATGATTCTCGCTTAGGGCTAACCCTATGTTACAACTTGCGAGAGGTCCCCGATTCGATCTCGGGTAACGCCCCATATATTTTTGGATTTTTTTCAGCTTTCCAGATTCACTGGGCTCATTGTATGGCTGTGTGATTGGATTAGCAATTTTTCTACTGCGTAATGTGAACAACTCCGTAGACTTACCTAATTGCAGACACGTTTCTGCTACGGCTTCCCTTTTTTGGGGTTTGGTTTTGTGGTTAAGTTAGGGCTAGGGCAATAAGGGTTATTCGGATATCATTTCACTGATTCTATATGTCGTTCTGGTTACTGGTATTGTGCACAGCCACTACAAGTACTCCGATTCAGGAAAACTCTCATTTATTCTGGCAGATTCAACTGATTACTGGTTTCGGATGCTTCTGACCCGGCAAAGTTTTGGCGTCACAACGCGTGTGTCATTTTACGTGACACTATCTATTATATGTGGGTCCCAATCAGTATATAATTCACCTGTCCTTGAACCACTTGTGCGTGTAATCGCTATTATATTATTCAATAATCTGGCTTGTCTCAGCTAGTCAAGTATTTGAATTCACTGTTTTCGGATTCACTACTTGGTGGCTAATTAGAAAAACTTGTCTGTGCACGTGTACAATTCACTTTCTTCATCTTTAGGCTGAGATCGTGTCTTCACTGAATTTTTACTCGGCCATTTACGGCATTTCTGCAAATCGCTATTCTACCTTGTCTTTTGGCTATCCATATATCTAGACTGTTGTCTATATAAAATGTGTGTGCTGAACAAAGCTGGAAATGCTGGGGAGCATATATTGTTGTAATACATAGTCGTAAAGCAATTTCACTCACTCACCTGAGTCCAATTCTAAAAAGAAGATAATGTCCTTGGACATACCCAGATAGTGAAGAGCGTGTTGATCATCGCGCAGATTAGAAGACTCATCGGAATAGCTTTGTTCGATAGTGAATATGATTGTGAGGCAAATAAACCGTGTATCTCCGTACCGATAAAAATATGCCATTCACCTAGGCAAGCACGCTGAATAAACGGAAGTTTGAGTTTGTTGACAATAAAGTCACTAATTTAGCGTGTCTAGCGTATATTTAAAGGAAGGACATGGTCAACCGACTGACCTCCATCTACCGAAAATGTCAACAACCGACCTTGACCAACTTCGCCAAAACATCAAATTCCCTACGATGTCGACCAAACCCCCAAAACAAGTACCTAAACAGGGAAAACAACGAAGAGTCAACAAATCTGACAAAGTCGAAGCCAACAAAGTCGAAAAGCCAGCCCCTAAGCTCCTCAAGAAGGCTCCTTCAGGATCTGATGAGCGCCAGTGGCCAGCATTCCAAGGTATACAAACTCTGCAAATTAACAGCGATCCTCTCACGCAAAGAGAACATTCGATTTCCGCCAAAGGTCAACAGCGCATGAGAGCCCAATACACTGCACCACAACTTGCTAAGCATCGTCTTGCGATCCAAGCCGTAAGTCATGAGGTCCTGCCAAGCTTAGATCGAGTTGAAACCTGACCAACTTCTAGCCACTCGCGCCCAAACAAGAGGAAAACACGATGGCCGCTATTTGTTATCAAGTCCAAGGTGACCCAAGGAACGGCCCAGTCCAAATGATGTGGGACGCTTTCGAAGCAAAGATCAACGCCTTGGAGAACGAGGTCTTGAAGTTACAACGCGAGAAGGCGGAGGTCCAGAAGTCCAATGATGAGGTAAGATCTCACCTCAAAGAATTCAATTAAGATTTGCTAACGCTTCAAGTAGCTCGTCGAAGAATTCAAGAAGGTCGCCGGTTTGGCTCATGTTGCATTGGGAGGTAATGTCGCGCGCGGCATCGGAAACTACTGAATATTCAAAGATCGCGAACTGGGGCACTACACAAACAACATCTCTGCGACTGGGTATCGTACCAAGCTTCTCCGCTATTTGGTTTTGTAGCTTCTCAACGCCGGTTTCCGTACGCTGCTTCCTTGACAAGTATATCGTCTCAGGAGTGTATTCTTTCTTGGCTCCACATTTCACGATGAAAGACAGTCACGCCAACTTATAGTGAATACGGTAGTCATGATTTAGAAATGCAAATAAAGCAATTCACCCTCTACTTGACTTTGATAATGAGTGTTCTGTATATCTCCTTTTGTAAAGTCTATTCACACCCCCCAATTACAAACATAGCTCTACAAGCTTGACCATTACCAAGAACTCTGAATATCGGCTAGTATAATTTAACTCAACTGTGCTTCACCCTTCAAGCAATCAACCTTAACCAAAGTCTGTTCAATCTCGAAACTTGCTATCGATAAATTCGAACTTGTGACGTGTGGCCAAATTAAAGCATCATAACTCCCGCTGAGGGAAGATGGCAACTGTCGAATGCGCTAATCACAAGCATAATACTTCTCGGTCACTCTGATACGAGCCCAATTTTCTGTACAAAGCTGCAATTCTGGAAGCTGAACTTCATTTTCAAGGCAACGGCGCAATTAATCACTTGTTCTCGCAAATCCAGCTAGATGTCGTGCTCTCGGACACAGAGGGCTTCCATGCGTGAGATCCCCAAAAGCCCTCACTTCTTTCTAGCCGCAAAATTCGACCGTATTTTTCAATCTTATCCCTCTTTCCCTGTCATGGTAACCTTCTCCATGGTTCCCCCAAGAAGAGAAGTATTGAGACCTCTATCGTTCAATGCCCATGTATTTTACCTGGGAATATTTCCACCCCTGGTAAGCACATGCCCGACAGATGAAGCCTTCCTCCCATGAGTTTGTCAGGCCCTCAAAATGAGGAGCTCGAATGACTACTCCGTATGCGAATTGATGCGGATCAAATGACATCGGATGTTGGCACCAAAGAATGGTCTCCTTCTCCGCGTGGGTAAGTGACAAAGACTTGTCAAATGCATTTTGAGGTTTTTGATGCCCCTACGTATGTTCACGATGACTTTAAAATCCTGACGGTAAGATAGCATGTGGGATGTAAGCAAAACGATCTGTCGCTCTCAACAGCATAATAGAACACACATCGAGACCCATTATAACTTGGATGAGGATATCGGTCGGTAGTCGGTGAAGTATGCCTATAAATTATGCATTCGTTGGCCATCCAAATGTGTATTAGGGACCGGAGATTCCCGTTCAAGTATCGCGGTTCATCACCAAGAAAGTACCCTAGTGGGGGGACACGAAAGGTATAATCATCAAAGCTAGAGACTTGAATGCCTCCTTCGATGGACAATTCTTCGTCTACTGGCACGAAGGTCATGGCCAGTTCTGCTGCTACTCTCATATGCAATTGAAGCGTGAACGATCAAGTGGATTCTTCCCTGCGCCTAAGCAACGAATCTGCAGGATACTGTTGTTTTCGCAGCAGAAATATTTCCACACTTGAGAGATGAGGAGTTTTGGTGCGCCCTGGTATCTGAGCCGCCTGTGACTTGTCTCACATCAATGAACTTCATTGGACAACAATTTCACTCAACGCACTCTTTTTTCCATTTCAGGTACATTGTAAAGTATGATATCGCCATTGATTCAACTATCTGCTTTTCGTGGTAAGATCCCCATTGATAAACAGATAAAGTGCTCTTTGGCCATTTGAACCAAATCCTTAACTTTTTCCGGATTGGCGAGTGCCACTCTCCGTTCTCGGTTAATCTCATCTTGAAGTTATCAGAGTAGCGTAGAGATGATAGCATAACTGAGCTATACATCCTGCAAAAGAATACGATATAGAAAAGCCGATGCAGCCAAAATAAAGTATTGCATGCGAAAATGTCTATCTTCTGCCGCAGTTTTAATCATATACAGGCACGTTACATATAAGACCATAGTTTACGTCCAATAAGTCTTGAAGCAGAGAAACAAACGCGAACAATATGAATTCAATTTAAAATGGTTGAGCAAGAAGGTTGCTAAATGCGGGAAATCGGGCTGTTTTTCTTCTGATTTATCTTTGTGGGAGACTCCAAGTACCAAACAAGGTCCAGCAGCTGAACAATTAACAGTAGGCAACTAATGCCAATGACCAGCAACCAGTTAGCCTATTACAGCCCCTATTTCTCAAGTTCATATTTTCAAGAAAGCCAAGGAGCTATGAAGTGACTGAGTCGAGGCATTCCATCAGTCGTTTGATTTGCCGATACCTCCCTGGATTGGGTGGCTATTTTGCTGAAAACCAACCAGACAGGCTTTGCTTCAAGTTGGTAGTGTGGAAGGTCACGATACAAGCGGGAAAGAGCGGTGATGAGTATGGATGGGCTCGTGGTTTCAACGACTCGCAGTGAAGAAGAGAGTCTACAAACAGGGCAGTCTTGGCAGCATTCCATGAAGCTTTGGCAAGTCACTGAGCTCACACCAATCTCGCCAAGAAATCCTAAAGTCGGGGTAATTTCAGCTTTATTCATGTTGAGGCCGGACTTTTGCCAACATCCTGTCCGAGAACCTCTAGTTTCAATTTATTTATCGTCATCATTACACGCAGCACAAACTTGGTTCTATTTTCAAGTCTCTTCGAAGGTGGAACCTCTCAATTTCCCACTGATGTAAATGAGAGTCTTTCTTTGCACAAATGCAGATATTCTACATGGTGTCCATATGCAATTTCCAGTCATCTCAGACCATCTTCCACAGCTTCTCCTTTGTCTTCGGATCAATTACCGACAATTTATGATGACTCTGATGCACATCTTTCTTTCTTGAATGTTAATCAGAGTAGGCTATGCACGTTTTGTTCTACGCCCCTTTCGCTGTTTCCCTCAACCCCTTCAATAGACGCAAAAGAAGCTCCAACTTATTCTCTTCTCTGATGCGGAAGCTTTAAAATACAGCCCCCATATCAATCTTTTTGCTATAACAAGCCAAACCGTTCTCACAGTAGCATTCGTCCACAGTCTTGGTCTGAGAAACCCCATGCTTGGATTTCCTCCTTCATTTGTGATTTCATGATGCATAAGTCATTCTTCTTACGGTATTCCTTAGATCGAGATTTATATTTGCGGCTTCTTTTAGAGGCGCCGGCGATCCATGTGGAGCAGCTTCGACCTGTGGTAACTCGGCCGTGGGAGTGGGCAAGATGGTGCTTAATTTTGACTGAAGTGTGGTTTGTGAAGTAGTAAGTTCATCATCCTTTGCATATTGCGCCTCCGAGTATGCATTAACCTGATGATTGACCATAAAATTCAAGCCTCCAAGTTTATAATTTATTACTCGAATATGATATTGGTCCTCGGCTAGATAATAGTCGTACGCCGTAATTTCTTTCTTGGCCGTTCGGGATATCTTTTGTGCCGCGGAGAGTACCCAAGAGCCTTTCGACATTGTGTTGGTTTCTCCTTCGCGCTTGCAGGATATTCTATAAGATAAAAACATGGTGTTCTCAACAGCTTCGGCACGTACATAAGTCGACCGGTAGTAACCACTTGAAGAGATTAAGAAAGTCAAAAGCACTGTGAGAAATTGTGTATTTATGAAGATATCGGCTGATAACATATCGTGGTTTGGCTTCATATAGAGTAGTACTTTACACACAATCTTTTCCTTTCGTATCATGCGCTATATTATACACGTTCGCAGCGGGCAATGCTGAGTATCGCTTAGTGCCCTTCCTTCCAATTAAATGCGGAAGCTTTGGGAGTTTTCATCGGGCGGAGAGGAGAGCCTGAAGCAATATGTGTTAGTTACTTCAAATGGCGCTAAAGACCAAGACGTACCAGGGATCTGTACGAAACCTTTTTTTGAGATAGGCTGTAGGAGGCAAGTACCTCCAAGTTCGAGATGGTTTTTGGGGCGGAGCGCGCGACGTCTTCTACCACGGTGGTTTTTTTGCTAGTTTGTCGATATCAATGTTTTTCATCAAAGCTCCAATCTCTGTTAGGGATTCCGGCGTGGACCTGAATTGACGTGGCTTGAATGAAGCTAGAGAGAGTAAACAAGGACACAACCTAACTTCATGAGGTTGCGAGTGTCCCACATGTGCAAAGGCACGCACGTTTTCATAGCGGTATCTGGCAATGGCTGGGCGTAATGTTCTCCACATGATTCCTAGTCTTCATGCCTCCCACGACTGTTATACAGACAAACTCGACTGCGTTCTGGGCACTCTGGTGCGTTGCTATCAAATCCCGACGTCCAAGCAGCATCTCCGCGGGGCGCTACGAGTGCAGCAGAATCAACACCTCGACAACCTTTCGTAGCAATCCACGTGCCACGTCCGATTTCTTTGGCATATGCTACAATGTAAGCAGCAATGGCGAAAGAGGGCAATGGACGAAAGAGGAAAATGAACATTTTATCGAGGTTGCTGAGGCGTTTTGTATCAAATTGCTCAAAGCTCGCCTAGTGGTCAGTACGTTGTGCAGGGGGTCGGTCCCTACCCAGCTCGCCTATTAACTTGACAGAATGACCGCCTTGGTAATGCACTACCATGGAAACGGGAACGCACGATGATTATAAACATATAGCCTTATGGAATTCACCAATATCAAATCCCGTAAGATGCTGCAAACTTTACGTGGTTCGCTGAAATGGAAGATATATATCTATATATTTCATCTCTGTCCCTTGGGAGGAGATTACCCCTCGGCTTTCGAAGTATCAAGTACTTATTTATGACACTTAACCCGCTACTCTGATCCAACCAGAATAAATCCTACTCAGATACTCCTTCTTGAGTCGCACAATCCCAAAATGGCACCATACAACAATTTCTTCCTCTCAGCCGACGGCCTCAACATATTCTATCGAGATTCAGCTGACTCCTCGTCAACCGAGAAACCCGTCATTCTCCTCCTTCACGGCTTCCCAGCTTCATCTCACCAATTCCGCAACCTAATTCCTCTCCTCAGTTCCAAATGCCGAGTCATCGCTCCCGATAAGCACCCAATTCCCCATATTTGACACCTTCTTGGGATAGATTCCAAAATACTCTCAACCCTTAAATACTAGTCTCTTAGACTACCAGACTAACTGGCCCCTCTTGAAGACCAAGACTAATTGCCACTTTATACAGATCTTCCAGGTTACGGCTTCACAGAAGTTCCAGCGACTCGGAATTACACCTACACATTTGAAAGCATTGCCCTAAGCATTGAAGCCTTCCTCGACGCTCTCAAAATCACAAAGTACAGTGTCTACGTCTTCGACTATGGCATGCCAACCGGTTTCAGTCTGGCTTTAAGAAGACCAGACTCTATCCAAGCAATCATCACTCAAAATGGAAATGCCTACGATGAAGGTTTCGGTGCCGAATTCTGGGCTCCCATCCGAGCTCTCTGGGCCACAGGAAGCGAGGCAGATAAAACCGTGATTCGAGATGCTGCACTCACATTCGAAGGATACAAAACTCAGTATCTTCTCGGAACACCTGATCCCTCGAAGATTGCTCCAGAATCTTGGTTCTTGGACTATGCGTTGACTGATCGTCCAGGAAATAAGGATATCCAGCTGCAGCTTCTTTATGATTATAGGACGAACTTGCCGCTGTATCCGAAGTTCCAAGAATACTTCCGTGCTTCGAATGTTCCTGTTCTGGCGGTTTGGGGAAAGCATGATATCATTTTTATCCCGCCGGGTGCGGAAGCGTTCAAGAGCGATGTGAAGAATTTTGAGCTGCATTTCCTTGATGCAGGACATTTTGCTGTTCTCAGTCACGCTGAAGAGATTGCCGGCTACATTTTGAAGTTCTTGGAAAAGAATGGGATTTAAAAGAGGGACAGGGAAGGTTCTTGTTGCTAGTCCCGTCAAGTTATTGGTTGCTGAAGTTTGGTTTCTTTGCTAATTTGTTCCGACGACACTCTTCTCTATGCTATTTATCAGGTTCTGGGTCCAAATTTTGCCATTAAATCCTCTTCCATCCAGTGATTAATTACTACCATTATTCACATCAAGGGGCTTGCGGGTTTCTCTTGAATTCAATACACACAATAGTCTCTAGACGATTACTCGCATGGAATGAAAGACCTTTCGAAAAGGGCCAAAGTAGCCTTTTCAATCAGTACAAGAATATTATATCAACAGTGAAATCCGGTATATTATAGCTAGTTGAACATAAAGTTTCGATTAGGGTTTGTTCCGTCTAGAAATCCAGCATGAGTCATCCACGGAAGCACCTTCCCTAAATGGAAAATAGCCAGAAGTTATTATCCCCATCATTGGTTCCTTCGCAAAGTGGATGAAGCGGCGCAGCAAAACGTGCTTCAAGTGCAAGAAACGATACGATGCTAAGATAAAATTGGGACTCTCCCGTCAGTGCTATCAATCTCTCCAAAAAGCCTTAAAGCACTAAAGATACAAGTATTCTTACTCACTTGAATACTTCCATTCGTCTACGGCCAAATAAAAGGTGTTTAGTTATTACTGTACACTTCCAAAAATCCCAGACATGACTTCAACATCCAGAATCCTCGAACTCTCAACAATAATCTCAACCAACACCCAAAAGATCGACACATACCTGCTCGTGAATGACCTTCCCCAACCCTCCTTCCAAGAATATGGACCCTTAAAAGTTCTCCCTGATGGCTCCCCTCCGGAATTAGAACAAGCACGCATCGATGCAGTCGAAGCAAGCATAGAACTCCAACAACTACTCCAAGGCCCAGATTCTCTTCTCACACCCACGGTACTTCTATTTCCCCCTCAAACCTTTCAGTAAGTATCTAATCAAGTCACTTGAAAAAAGATAAATAGCACCGCACTCACCGCAATCCACGAATTCAAACTCGCCACGAAAGTCCCTCTCGAGGGATTTGCACTTGCAAATAATACAGATCTCCAATTCTACAACTTCCTGAGTCAGTATCCCGAACGCGCAAAGCGATTTGGGGGCGTCATGTCTTCATCAAGCACCGCAGGACTTCAAGCTCTTCTGGACAAATTTCCATGGTCTTCATTGCCAGAAAATGGGCTGGTGGTTGACTTGGGTGGTTCACAAGGTCACGTCAGCGCCTTTTTAGCGGAAGCCATTCCTTCCTTGAAGTTCGTCGTCCAGGATCTGCCAGAGGTCATCTCAGATACCGAGTCAACGTATCGAGTTCCTGAAGCTGTTGCGAATAGACTGGTGAGCATGGAGCATGATTTCTTCACACTACAGCCGCTGAAGGATGTGGATGTCGTTGTGATACGATACATCTTCCACAATTGGTCTGACGAGTATTGTATACGGATATTAAGAAATCTGATACCTGGTCTCAAACCTGGTGCGAAGATTCTGATTCAGGATCATTTAATGCCGGAACCTAAAACTTTGTCCTTGGCAAAGGAGAGAGATGTTAGGTATGCCGATTTTGGTGAATTCGCTGGTTAGTAAGAAAGTCTAACGATTCTATAGAGCCATGGATATGATCATGCTTTCACTATTCAATTCGCGGGAAAGAGAAGAAGATGATTGGAAAGAGCTGGTGGCGAAGACTGATTCCAGGTTTATATTTGAGAGTGCTGAGAGACAGGCGCAAGATTCTGCATCTGGAATTATGGTTGTAAGTTGGCAAGGTTGAAATGAACTTTCCCAGTGGGAGTAGAAAAGTCGATACCTTATGTACTCCCAGTCGATACCTTATCTACACCCGGTCGATACCGTATCGACAACCGATTATATAGGGGAAGTTTTTTTAAAAACAGAAATCTTTTATAACAGGTTCTATTAGTTTCTAATAGTCGTCTATTTATTCCTGTAGCGTTCTTTATAGGGCCTTTTTTTATTAAGTATAGGACGAGTTTTCTCGATTTCGCTAAGTAGCTAGGAATAGACTTTAATAAGAGTTTAGGCTTATAGATCCTACTACGCATATACTTCCGAGTACTACCGAGTACTGCCTACATATTACTGCCCTTCCCCCGCCCTCTCTTTGCCTACCTGTCCCCCCTCCTGTCCCTACCTATAAGTGTACTTGGTCGTTTTTTTTTGTCCCTACCTATAACCTCTGTATATACTTAATTTAAGTAAGTGATTCGAGCTATAAAAGTATAGAAAAAAGTTGTAATTTATTAATAACTTTGGACATTTTAGTAACCATTTATTAACAACCGTTTATAGATAAGGTATCGACAATTGTCGATAGGGTATCTACAACCGAGCGCATACAAAAATGTACATAAGGTATCGATAACCGGTTGTCGATACCTTATCTACGCCCGCTCCCACTGGGTTTGCCAACCCCTCCTAAGCGAGTATGTGGAGAGGTGTAGGTTTTGGTAGTTTATTTTCCAAAATAGAAGTTTAGAAATTTAAGACTCGGGACGCTCTCTTGACTCTTGGATTCCTATTTACTTAGTAAATATAAATGAAAGGTTTTGTTTAATAACACATTAGAGACGGATTTTCTTTATCTTGTTGTTTCTTACGTAACCCCCCCCCCC